TCGCAACGAGGATTTCAGTTGCAACCTGTGTTTCTCACACTCTGTTACCACACACTTCTGAAAGCCTTTTTTTCCCCCACGTAGCATTTTTTCTGGCCTGGCTTTAACAAGTCACTCCTGCAAGACGCAGGGCACTGGGGAGTTGCTGGCAGCAGGACCCCAGTGCCATGGTGGCCCTCAGGATGGGGATGGTCCCCAAGCTTTCTGCCAGCTCGATGCCGCTCTGGACACCTCTTCCCAATCCTCCTGACATTGCTGCCACCGGCCTTGGGTTGTTTCAGCTCACATTTTCCTCCCCTCACGTGTGAAGGCATCACGATGGCTGTCTGAGTCCTACAGTTACTATGGGTGCGTGGGTCCATAATGGTACATTGTAAGTGAATGTCTCAGGGTAGACAGCAATAATAATTAGCTGTCATGATTTGAAAAAAGGATAATCCACGCCATTGAGTTAACAATCACTCACACAACACACATGGATTTAACTAATCTTAATTTGGAGAAAAATAACAATTCTAAATATATCAAATAGCCTATTTCATGGCAACCTGCGGCGGTGTTTATCTCTGGCTTCCAGCACATGCGAGTTATTTAGTTTCTCTCACTGGCAGTTTTACCATTCAAAAGCCTGAAATGAACATTCGTGGAGCAGGGGTTGCAGCTAAATCCTGCCTCTGACAGGGAGCCTTTTTTTTTCACGATGCACATCTAGTTCAAGTACATAACGTATGGAGCCCAGCACTGGCGACCGGGATGGGATGAACGAGGAATTAAAATCAAACCCCTCCCCTTTCCTAGCACCATCTTTGCAGAAATTAACTACGTTGTCTTAATGAACCTCTGCTGCTGGGGTGGTTCTGTGACCTTAAGGGTGCAGACCAGCCAGTGAAGCTGGAGAAGGTCTGGTCCAAGTGGTGCCTGCCCCACCAAGGTTCCCTCATCTCTTCCAGGATTCTCTGAAACCATATAGTGTTAAAAACAAGCCAACTGGTGTTTTTTCTTTAATCTGGATCATTTCAGAGAGCTGTGCTGAAGAACAACCTGGTGGTCCACGAACCCAGCAGGGTCATGAGGACAACAGGAGATGCCATCAATCAAAGGACACCAAGAGCCACCTCCCCAGGGCTTTCTTCAGCCAGCACAGGTCACCCAGTTATGCCCAACATCTGATAAATATGAAAGATAAAAAGAGGTATAAAATACAACAGTGGTCTAATTTTTTCCAAAATACCTGCCAGTGGTGAAGTGAAAGAAGCAGTGGCTGATAACTCCTAGCCAACTCATTGGCCTGGCTGTGTTTTGCTGTGCAACAATCTGGTTCATCTGTTCGATACTATCACACCCTCTGCACGAGAGGCAGAACTGATTTTCAAACAGGTCAGCCAATTTGAAAAAAAATGAAAAACAAACTTTACAGGACAAACTGCTCCTAAGCAAGTCACGTCCTCCCAGTGCCAGCTAACGTGCTTATGGACAGTGGCAACCAAATGAAAATGCCTTGAAAAGCGTGGATTTGTAAGTTACCAGTCAGGGAAAGACGATAGACTTCATTATCAGAAGGTCTTTAAAAGCTCACTGCAGAGATAAAGTTGCCTTTGTCTCTACTGATACCTAGAAACGTCACTTGGAGATGTGTGTTACACGCGTGCAAATTCTTGCAGGCTCCTGAGCTCTGCCTGCCTCCTTCCAAGAGGCACAAGGTTCGGTGTGTGGTCAAGGGGTATTTGGTGACCACAGCAAGCAGAGTGACCAAGAGAGAAAGAGAAAAAGGCAAAAAGAAGGAGAGGAGGCCACACCAATCATTCCTACCAAATAAAAAGGGCTACAACAATAACAGAAGATCAAGGAGAGGAGCTGAAGCCTATTTGAGGGCAGCAGCGGTGGCAGTGTATTTCAGGGAGCCGGAGTGGCGAGTGGGTGATTTCTGGTTTCCCTCTTCAAATATAAAGACTCAATTATCTTTGAACAGCTTGCTTTACACATGAATTGACACATTTATTTTACAATAAATAACTGAAAGTTATCTATGTTTCCTTTACTGTTAATCTACACAAAGAAATAATAAACAGAGCTTGTCTACAAAAATGCAACTACTGCAGTCCTCAGAATTCAATTAAGCTAAAATAATTAATGCTTCCACCATATTAAATTACTTTATACATTTGAGCCACTGAAGTTTTTTTATTCTTTAATCTTTTTCGCCGTTTTATTTAATAAAAAAAAAAGTTAGTTTCAAAGTTGGGGGGGGAGGCTGGTTAGGAGGGGGGAAAAGAGCATGATTTGCTGTTAAAATGTAATGGTCTCCTTTAGCTGACACAGCATGTAGAGTGTTTTGTGCCTTTGATTAAAATAACATTTTAAATGCTTTGAACAAACATATCTCCCCATACTTCTAAGGGATTATTTTACATATTTCTTGGTGGAATAAAGAAATTCATTCTTCCTGTCGCAGTACAGAAAGGCTAAGAATATCTTTCGTCACATATAAAGTAAAAATACTGTAGGCTGTTGCATTATTACCAAAAAAATAAAAAAATAAAGGGAGGAGGTGGCAGGGTGGGAGAAAGCTGCCTTAGAGATTAAGTTTCCCTTTTATGAAATCGTATTTAGTCTCTTTTTTTAACAAATCTAACAACAATGCTCTACAGCCGCTCACTGGGAAATACCTTTAATGTTAAATGCAGATTCTGATTTTCTTGGCTAATGCAGAAAGCCTTTCTATTGAAATATAAATAAGGGGTTTGGTATATCCCACTAAAGCCTTTCCAGTGAATGACTTCTGTGGGTTTTTCATGGCTACCCTCCATGGCTGTAATGTGAGGCTTTTATCCTACTATTGAAAACTATCCGTTGCTATTAAAAAAAATATGGAAGGACACTGCACCTTTTTATCTCGGAGCTGGGCTTCTAATTGAGAAAGCATTATTACTGCACTATTTAGTGGATGTCCCTATCTCTGTGCACTGCTGAGAAAATGCCAATCAAATGATAAACCCTTTTATTTTTCTCAATTCAAAATCTTTCCTACATATTTTCAGTTGATATTCAGTTTAGTCTGAAAGAGATTAGGTGCTCCAGATTGGCTTTTAAATTTAATTTTTCTGTGTGCCTTTTCCACACGTGAACATCTCCTTCACCCCCAGATATTCTGCATGGCACAAGCGTTCATTATATTGATGCTGACCCCCAGATGCTGGGATGGGACGGCACCCTCTGCGCTGGGCATAGCCATGGAGGTATTTCACTATGGCCTGAACTTGGGCAGAAATTGGGAAAATATGAGATCTGGACTGCAACTACAGCATGGGTCTCCTGGACCAACCTTGCTAAGCACTTGGCAACCTCTTCAAGGGGCTGAGCACCATCAGCTCACACAGAGATCAACAGAGACTGAAGGGCTCAGCACCATTCAGGAGGCCTTCAGCAAACTGAGGGAGAAAGTCCTGAATAATTCCCATCATATGGGAAGGAAGTCTAGCCTTCAAAGCTGCTACACCATGAGGTAGTGTAATCATCTCTGCCAAGAAATGCCTTTGCAACTGCAAAAGGATGGGGAAAGCTGGAAAAAGATGGAGAAAACTGAAAAATTAAGAGAAAAGGACAAGGTCTGGCCTTACAGTAGGGTTGCTTACAACACTACAGCACAACTAATGCCCCCAAAACTACCAGTTTCCCATGCCAAGATGGTGACTGCACACAGAAAATATACCTAGAAGGCAATAAGGTAGTCAACGGGTGGGATATGCCCTCTCCTAAGAGACAGATCACCTGGACACCTGAAGACTGCAGCAGCTCAAAGCCCACATCCTCTTTTCTACAATGGCCAAGCCCTTCAGTGACACTGGGGACTCACTCAGAGACCTCCAATGCTAAAAGCAGGAATCTCTTAAGCTTCAATTGTAAAGGTAGGAGTCTCTCACAAGTCTTCTGAGGATCCCCTCAAGGGAACATCTCTACTACAGACAGGATCGTGGACCATCAGATCTAATCCCATAAGACAATTCCTAGAGAAATCGGGATAGTGGCAGCAAAGACAAATTGCCACCAGTCTTCTATATGGGATACAGTCGGTGTGAACAAAAAAGGCCCGTGTGAGGGGAGATCCTGCTGTGTGACATAAAACCCCCGCTCGCTGGCAGGGAGCAGAGCCTTCCTTTCACCACTGCTGCGGAGGGGAGAAACGCCCTGCGCAACGGAAGCGGCCCCATGCTGGGCGCTCTGCAGAAACCGCTGCATGGTGGATACCATCGCCCGCCTGCCCGCCTCGGAGCCGTGGGGGGGTCCACTGAGTTAACTAACCACTGTCCAAGAGCTTTAGACAAGGAAATGCCTGCAATTTGCTCACCCAGGCCAGCCTGTGGTCTTGTCTCCTCATTCAAAAGCCCCGTTTTGGGGCGTGCATGTGAAGGGAGCTGTCTCTCACCCAACTCCAGCCATTTGCAGAGACTCAGGACAGGCGGCGCAGGCAACGCAGACCAGGAAGGTGACATCTACCCCAGCAGAAGGAACAAGCAAGGACTTAATGAACCCCTGCTTTAGCCTTCGAAAGCAAATCCTCTTCCCATTGCTGTCGGTGTGAAGGGGATTTTCCCACTGTCTTCAGTGGGGTCAGGGTTTGGTCCTTCCCAGTGGGTCTGCATGTTACAGAAGGTGTCTGAACTGGATTGAATGGGGTATCTCACCAAGTTCCTCCACCGCTGCTACCTGCTTAAAGACACTCCCGAAATGTTTCTGACCCCAACCTTCTGCTTTTTCCTACATGTACAGGCTGCCACCAGGCTCTCCCAGGAATCAGGAGTCCCCTCTCTCTGGGAGCTGGCCCTACATTGAATTAAACATGGGGTGGACAGCCCTGCTGAGCCCTACATGACCATGAGGATCCTCCAGACCGATGGCTGCTATAAAGACCTGTTACTAAAGCTTCTGTTTCACGGCACTTTCTAGAGGGCTCTCGTTAAAAGATTACCTAGGCAGTTGATTGAGTGTAAAACATGCTGTACCTGCAATGTTCTCCTGCTTGGGGCAAATTCCTTTTGTAGGCGTGAGAAGACGGTCTTCTTCATCGGGTGTGACTTGGATCCCGATTTCCACTGGCTCTGACACTTTCCTGAGCTCGGCGCGTGAGGAGGGGGGAGGGCTGCTCTTATCCATGCTCTTTTCATAGCAGGCACCACCAGTGCCATTGCACTGTTTTCTCTTGTGCTCTATAAAAACCAAGATGTCTCCCAGCGGGAAGTTCATCTGACACTGTCCACAGGTTAACAAGTCGGGGTCTGTCCCGCCTGCGGTGATGCTGATGCCGCCCGGCTCTGCTATTGCCAGGCTCTCATCTTCGTCGGCGAGTGCCGGTTCCACATGGTCAGCCTCTGCTTTACACGGACAAGGAGAAAGAGGGAGGAAAGGGACGAGGGGAGAAGAGAAAGAGATTGCTTTGAATGTTCATAGACTCAAGGATGCATCACCAGAGGCTCAGCCTCCCCTAACACCCCCCCCCCCCCCCAAAACGACAGGCCGCTCACCCCCCCCCCCACCCAAAGAAGCCAAGCCTGATTAGATCTTTCTTTTATTTTTCAGCTTTTCCACTCTCCCAGAATGATTTCAATATATTTTGCAACCGAGCCTGTCTGAAACAAAATGGAAAGGCTGACCTGGCAGAGCTTTCCTGACAGCTCCTTCCCACTGCTGCCAGCGCTGCAAGGATATCAGCAAAGAGCCATTTTGCAAACGTTTGAGCCCCGAGCCACTTTCTGAAATAGTTCCTCTCTTTTTGCATCCCACCTTCTCATTCCCACCGCATCTCCCAGCCATCTGGCCAAGGCCCCATCCAGCAAAACTCACGCACCCGAACCTCTCCTCCTGTTTCAGAGACAGGGGGGAAAAGGCGCTTGCGTGCTCACAAGAAGCCAGATCAGGCTCTCTGTGGCATACAAAATTAGTACCACCTCGTCCCATTACAAAGATTAAATAACCACCCTTTAGCACGAATTACAGCAAACTGTTTGTAACGTTAGCAGGATGTGATCTTGTAAGAAGTTCAGGGGTTTCAGAAGCGTGTACAGTGGGAAATCGAACTCAGCGCTTACTTTACATAGTGGCATATTGGCTAAGCCTGAAATCTTCCACTCCTTTTCCTGATAGCAGATACCCCTGCAGTTGTGATATAGGTTAATAAAGGGTTTTTTTGTTTAAAAAGCACCCACGGATTTCATACCATTACCCTGCAAGGCTGGGAAAGCATCTCTGAGTGACCTGCATCCGTTTCTAAGAAATAAGTAACTTCTCATTTCAAAATTAATAGAACACAATGCGTTTTAAAGGATATTTTGAAGATAATTCTTACATTATAATATAATTATGGATCACAATCTATTTCTGGGGCAAAACGTCTTTTTTTTGTTTGTTTTCTCTTGTTCTGCCGTGTAACTGCCAAATCATACAAACCTTGGTCTTTACTTCGGCACAATTTCCACTGACTTTTGCCTAAGGCTGTTTTGCCTCTGCAAGGACTATAGGATTTGGGCCGAACAAAACAGGGGAACTAACAGTATGTAAATCAGCAAGTGAGACCTCGAATCGAATCGGGATTAAAGGAATAGGAGGAAAAAATGTTCCCTATTAGCCCAAGCGGTTTGCTCATGGATTTCCTGGGGAAAGCAAGTCACACAAATACCTCAAAGACGCGAGACTGAGATAAACAGATGTTACAATCCGGATCTGGATTCTCCTCCTGACCAAAAACAAAAGGGGTTTTGTCCCACTTTTCATCAAATCGAAAAGAGAAAAACCCACATAGGAAAGGGAAAGCTTCGGTTTCCTAAACTCACACCCAGCTTTCCAAACACGCAGCACAACACTCGCTCTGAAAACCATTAATTACCTTTTTCCCCCTCCATCTAATTTTAAAAGGAGTTTGAAGACAATGCTACGTAATTAAGTCACCAATTGATATCATGAAAAGGTGCCTCCTCGCCTTAATGAAAATGTAACCATAGCCCTGCGCTGCACGGGGACTGCTGGGAAGGGAGCGGGTGCCTGCGAACGGCGTGTCATGATGCAAAAAGGTAATTATTTAGTGCTGCGGCTCCCTTTAATGATCTAACATTGAGCAATATTGTTTATATTGAAGAGAGCTTGCACCTTTAATTACCAATTACATATACATCATTTTAAAGCCAAAAGAAAAGGGCCGTGAAAAGGGGCCTTTAGAAATGTGCGTGCTATTTCTAGGAAGAATTCCTATTAAGGGGGAGTAGTGTGTCAAAATATTAAAAAAAAAATAAATCAAAAAAGCAACCCACATCCAGCGGCACGCAGATACACACGGGAGATGGGACAAAGAGCTGGAAAAGACAACCCGAAAACAGGAATTGAACCAAGGGTCGTCAGGAAAAATGGTGGCAGAGGGGGAAAATGCTCCTCACCCCTTTCACCTAACGTTCCCGTAAAGCCCTCGGATTAAAGTCTGCCTCTCAGATTACACAGGCCGAATTTTGGCATTGATATAAGTATAAGAAATCAAAAGATCTCAACTTCATTATCTTTTTGATGCGAGGATTTTTTTATATATATATTTTTTTTTGCCTGTGATTTAAATTGTGTTCTTCAGAAAACGTCGCAAAACTGCTGCGTTTGGTGAGGGTCCTGACCAGGCGTCCGTGGAAACACGAAGGGGCTTTAAACAGCGAAAACTGCTGCGAATTCTTTCTTTTCGGCTCTACACTTGGTTTGAATATTAGTTAAACCCACATATGCCTGTTCACTTACACTCGCTCACTCTCTCTTTCCAAGCACTGTGCAATGCCACTTTTTTAAAATAACATCTGGTATTCGTTCATATTTTGGCAGTCGTCACGTTGCCGAAAATCGGCTTTTCGTTTCCTTGGTACGCCGAGCCCTCGTGATCAGTAGTAATTGGGTTTCAAACTATCAAAAGATTTCTTTTTCGCTCAACTCTATTTCTGATTTGAGCTTAATAGATCGCCAAGCATGAGAGCAGCCGTACACCCAACGATGCAGAAGCTATATTACATTCCCCTTATTCGGGACTTGGAAAACAGGGATAAAAGACTGAAAAACAAAATACTGAATAGGTCTTCACATGCATTTTATCCACGTCAATTTGCATTTATTTTATTTTTTCTTTACTTGGAATAAAAAAAAGAAAAGGCTTCCTATTGACAACTCAATTAAGCCATTAAAAACCTACATTCGAGTAACATTACAGGAGAGATTTAAAACCCACAAAGGAAAAGAGAAGAAAGCCTGCGAGTCCAGCCCATAACACACCAGGTCATGCCTGGTTAATACAACAGCCAAGATCTTAGGCTGTTTAAGGAGTCCTTTAATACCAACGGGGCAATTTAGGCCAGTCTCAGCCTAAAGTTCTGACTCCACTTGTGTCTGTGGGTTTCAAATGAGTCGCTTCACATTATTTGAATTTAACTCTGTGGTTTGATTGCTGTTTGTTGGTAGCTGGGTCTGGGGGGAGAGGAGGGTGTTTCCTCATGAGTATTTATTTAAAATTAATTTATTATTTTTTTTAAGGAGAAATCAAGCCACACAGAAAAGGAGAATGGAAAACATCTCATACCCCTTACGTGGGAAAAGTGAAAAGAAATGCAAACGAGCTATTTCCAGCCAAGACTTGTGCCCTGGTTCTTCCAGGTGTGTTAAGGTGTGCCCCGGATTTTTTCCTCCAGAAAGGATTGCCTTGGCATCGCCTGCCGGGGGAGCGCAGCGAGTTGGGGACAGGCGATCTATGGGGACGTGAGTGACACTGTCGTTGCCCGATGGCTCCGTGAAATTAATGCAACTGGACAATCTAAATCATTTGCTTTACTCTGAAAAGCGCTACGCTTGCTGGCTGGACCCTAAGCAGCATCTCCAGGCTTTCTGGCTGCATACCATGCCAAAATCCAGTGGACAAACCCCTTAATTCCATAAAGGCGCTGTCACAAAGCCACCAGCGCTCCCACTTCAGCATGGTGACATCAGGAGAGCATATGTGCCCCATGCAAACAACGCTCCCATGCCCAGTGTAAAAGCGCAGGCACACGCTAACTACTTTCTGCCTGTCAGATGTCTCAAAATCCTACCCATTAATAGTGGGGAAAGGCTGCTTTACTAAAAATCATTGCCAAGGCCTCAAAGGACAGAACCGTGGATGCTTGTTCATGGGATTTGGGTGAGGCTGAGTCCAGGCAGCAGTAATTTATTTTCTTGCCTTTCTGCAGAACCAAGGTAAGAAGGGATCGAAAAGTTGCCAACCTCTTTTCTCCTTCTTTTTTCCCATCCTGCAGTATGAAAAAAGGAGGCAGAGAAAAGAAGGAAGAGGAAACGGTTTGGTGCTGGGCCAAAGCGTTGCGTGTGAAACCTCCCCTCCACAGTCGCTTTCTTGCACAAATCGATAACGGGGTGGTTAAGGCGAGCGCTGCCGGTGCCTTCGCCACAGGGGTGCTGCTGGGTGCCCTGCCTGTCCCAGCACCACCCCACCACCCTCCTTCTGCCCACCCGAGGGGCAAAACATGGGCTACTTCAGGGGTCACCAGTCTCTGGGATGAACTGGGACTGCCGTGGGTCATGGCTAACCGTGGCCAGGCACAGGTGATGAACTGGGCCTGCGGTGGGTCATGGCTACCGGTGCCCAGGCACAGGAAGCCAGGCCACAAGTGTGCCACAGCACGCAGAGCTCGCCTGTCTTGAAGGCACATCCAGAAAAATCTCAGCCCAACTGAGGAGCGAGCACAAAGAAGTCACTCGCTCTTCAGGGTGTTGGCCCAAAGCAGGCCTGAAAATGATGTCCCTTCAATCAACACCCACATGTCACATTTACTGTAACATCAACGTGCTTAACGGAAATAGCTCGGATCACACGCTCTCTAGCCGGGTTATCGCCGAGATCGGTGTCAGGATCCTCGCTGCACAAAGGCCAGCGCTGCTCAGAGCGGGCGGCGCGGCTCCTCACCGTCAAAGTTTATCAATAACCCGTTTCCAGAGCCTCTCCGCAGCTCCCTGCACCTGCAAGGTGCAGAGTTGAGCTTCTGCCTACATATTGCATCAGCATCACCCTCAGCATCACCGCTTGTGGGCCCTCAATTTTTAATTTGTCTGAGCTCTGTTTGTAGTATTTAATTTATTTTATTTTTCCCAAGAAACATCTGACGCCGAGTTGGCCAAACTTGACAGGGAAGCCTCAGCAACGCAGAGGCCCACACAGCTCTGCCTCACTTTTCCGAGCGGCTCTCGGGCAAGTGCAAAGTGCACAAAGGCAGCGAACCTTCGTCGTGCCGTGGATGGCCCCGGTGCTGCTATCGAGCCACTGCCAATCGGTCACCCACCACCAACCGGTCATCGGCAACCGCGCTCCAGCCCCTGGACGGTGGCATAACACGGTGGCCAGGGGCATCTGGCCACCATCACCTGTCTGCAGCAGCAGGATGGAGCCTACTGCCCCACTGGGTACCAGAATAACCCATTTCACTGCAAAGCCTTAGCGTGTCCCCCCGCACCATTAGAGGAGTCTCCTGCAACCCCCATAAGTCAGACATCTTTTGCAGAAGTATCCCAAGTCTCTCAGAAAAGCGGTTTAACCCTCTGTGCACACCTAAGACTGCACAAGCACTGCCACAGAGAGCCCAGCAGCGTATCAAGGTTTAGGGAAAAGGAGGAGGAAAATGGCACAATAACCACACCGGACCCAAACGGCACAAAAGCTAAGAATATCCAAGGATCCGCACAAATCTCCAGCACTTGTCAGATGTTATTTCATCAGAAACTCTGTACAGTGTTAAGGAAGGGAGTGGCGTGTCTCCTCTTAAGTAAACTATACGTTCATAAAAAAATATTTACTGCTTTTGAGAGTGGAAAATGCATAGGCTCTCCTATAGACTGCAGAAGCTGTAAATCTCCGCAGATAAAATGGGACGTGATGATGTGATATAAAAGCATTCTTTGTTGCCCAGTGAATACATTTGTTTTATTTAAAACTAAGCGACAACCAAGGAGAGAAAGGAGCGCTCGGTGCCACAAAAGGAGAAGGAGCTGTATTTGGGTTCAGGCTTTTAACTGGCAGGGAAAAGGATATTGGAAGCACAGATTCTTACCCAAGGATTTAAAAGGCATGACCAAAATTAAGTAATTAGTTTTGAGCATGTATTAAACACACAACAGCTCTGTTCTTTTTTTTAAATATCGGGCTCAAAAGAGACTGTGTTTCTCAATTGTGTATGGCACGCTGTTGCTCATATACAATTTTCTTAAGCCTTTTCTTATTTTTAGCTTTCATTGAAGCATATTCATTATAACATTCAGCGAATTTATGGCTTCTTCCAGTGGCTTAGTAAAAGGGGTCATAAAAAAGTTAAGTAAACCAGTGTTATTTTCCCTCTCCCTTAACTTTGGATTCCTTTTTTCATACTGTGCTGTCTAGTGCTCAGTCTTTGGAAAGTACCTTGGGCATATCCAGCGCACACAGAAATTATCAGCTGCTCCAGGAAAGAAAGAAAGACAACGGGATTTCTAGCAGTGAGGCAACTACACAAAAGACTTGCATATGTCAAAAACACAGTCCTAAGTCCCTGCGAATGCCCCTCCATTAATCAAATCCCCGATCTGGTGTCACTTTTTGCCAGCAAAATGATTATATTCCTCTAACCCTCTTCTACCGGCGCGTGCCTGCGACGCATGAAGTGTGTCTCTCTGCTTTAATTTGTTTTCGAATAGCCTGCTTTAGGCGGTTTTTTTATATATCCTATGGAAAAAAAAAAAGCGGAGGAAAAAAAAATAGAAGCTGCTACTTAAAGCTCTAGCAAGGGTCTACTGTACTAAGCAAGCAACAGCTTTTTGGGAGAGAGAGCAGAGAGCGAGCAAATTTAATTGATGTGGAGGAGCTGAGCACACAACTGCAGCCGTGGGTGCCGGGGAACGGTGCGCAGGCTGCCCATACATCTTAAAAAAGTAAATAAACACGAAAAAGGAAGGTGCTGGAGTAAGAGCAGCTGAATGAATCACGCGTTTATCAATGCCCGCAGTTATTGACGGCTTTTCCCTCCCTCGTTAAAAAGATACAGATATATCTAAACCCGTCTGCACCTGATGCTGATGCTTCACCCAGCACTTTGACGGTACCGCTAACTTTAAAGCAGGCAGTAACCCCCAGCCTCCGGTGATTTTTCTGCGTGTTTTCTCTGAGGGGAGCCCAAATTCAACTGACAACTGTAGCGCAACCCTGGAGGAACCGAACTGCACCCAAAAAAGAAGGAAAGGCTCTGGCAATGAGACGGAGAGCCATTCTGGGGGAGCAAAGTCTCAACGAGGAGGCTTTTCCAACAGGGCTTCGTCCTGGGGGAGTGGGGCCGGTGGGAGGCAGAGGAGGGAGCGGGAGGAAGGGGAGCATGGGTGGGCAGAGGCAATGGGGAGGAGGAGAGGGGGGTTGTGGCTTGTCTCGGTCAAAGTTAGCAGCCATGGGATGGAAGGAAAGCCACAATCAGAGAAGTCTGAGGTTTCGGGAGGGGAGAAGGAAAGGTTTTCCCCATCAGCATCAGCAGCGGCCCAGGCACTGTGCTCTTCAGCTAACCGGTGTGTCAAACGAGCTGGCTGCTGTCTATATGCTTTCAACTAGCTCAGTTCAAACATTAAATGAAGTAGAGAAATCATCAGATAAATTGCTGGCCCTCTCTAGCCAAGAGTGAAGGGTTTTTGTACAGCTGATGACAGCCCTGATCTTTTGTCTGACCTAATTTACTTCTCTTTCAGGTTAGAATAGAGCACGCTTTCCTGTCACGGGATAACCTCCATCCACATATTGCTCCCTAAAAATACAGAGAGCCTTGTGCTATGTTAACAGTACCAGAACTTGATGAATTTCTCAGGTTGGCTGAAATAAACATCCGCTGAGCAAAGCTTCCCCTGTGTACACCATGTAATCTTATGTTTGGGCAAGAAAGCGTCCCGTTAAAGTCCATCCACGATGCCCAAGCCGACTGCAGCACTGAACAGCACGAGCCCAGCCTGTGAGCTGCTCAGCAGCAACTTCTACATTCACAGATGTGATTTTGTGTTTATTGCTCTAGAACAAAATGCTTATTTTCCTTTGCAGGTTTTTTGCTATAAGGATCCGAGGATCAAAGTACGGTAAAACTATCTAATATCAGATCCTCTTGGCAGGGGTACATGTGGCTTCCTGACATGTAAACAACGCCAAATTATGTACGTGTATGTCTGCTTTATTGCTGTACACACCTTCTCCTACAACTCCAGCTTCCTCACTCGCTGGTTTTACATCCACCGGAGCAAAGAAACAGAGCTCCGTAGGCTTTTCTTTCCACCCCCAACACACAAGAGGCTCACTCGTGTACAGGTATCACTACCCTGCTTGACCAACGAATTGAGAATTGAAACATTGTTGTCCAAAAAAACCCTAATTTTAAACAAAAACTCCTGTTAATCAGCCGCGATTTAACTAAAAATAGCATCGTTTCGCTCTCAGCTCCCACCCCCCTCTCTCTCTCTCTCAGCGAGGGTTATCGAGATCTTCACAGGGAAAAATCAATACTACAACTTTACGGTGAGAAAATTTTGGCGGCGAGGAAAAGCTGTTGTTTCCCGGGGCCGAGCATCCCCCCCCCCAATCCCGGCCATGACACGGGCGAGGAGCTCCCCCTAGTCGCCAGCGCCCCCACTCGCAGCCGGGGGCCCCGCCAAGGCCGGAAAAAAAAGCTGCAGCAAAGTTTTATTTCTGGGATTTTATCTTTTTTTTTTTTTTTTCCAATCGTCGCGGACCCAGGTAGGAAATGGGGAAGAGGAGCGAGCGGCTGGTGCGAGGTATTTTTTGGAAGAGAAGGGGTTTCCTCGAGCGCCGCCGCAGAGGCGTCAACCCAAGTCGGTAACCGATATCAATAATTTGTACGACTTCTACGAGCGCGTACTCCTCTAAGTCGTAATTATTGTCAAATATGCCACCAGACACCCCTTTGTTCGGCAGAAAAAGGTGCATTTTTGCTCAAGACGCAGGCTCCAAGCGTCCCTATTAAAGGCAGCCAGGCTGTAAAATCTTGAGGACTTTTCTTTCTCGGTATTGAAATAAGCCTGACAAAATATGCTCTGCATCTGCCGACCAGCAAAAAAAATCCAAAATTATTTCTCACCCGCTGTACGTCTGTTTAAGCCACCGAGCACATCAACCCAAAGGGACGGAGCAACCTACCTCCAAAATCTTGTTACTCTGCACCAACCTTTTAAAGACATTTTGAGAGACCAGAAACCATGAAAATGTGCCAGTATTTTATTTTTTTAAATCTTGTAAGTCCAATACAAATATATTCAAATGAAAGGCAACCTGGAAGTCGACAGCACACAACCTTTTTTATTTTCCTGTCCTATTTAAAGCCAACACATGTAACGTCTTTTAGAAGCACGGCAAGCTTTTCTGCACACAACTATGCAGGTATTATTAAAAAGTCAGCCACCTCCAAAGTAAGAATAATTTCCTCTCTAATTCTTCACTCACAGTTTACGTTCTCTTTGTATTAGGGTTTATTACACCGGTGTGGGTTTTTTTTCTGTAGGAAAAAGTGCATTAATT